TGGAGTTCCCAGGCTGTCAGTCTTCACGGAAGCAGACTGTCTCCTCTTTCTCCCATGGCACAGCTGGTGGGTTCAAACCTCTGACCTTTGGGTTAGCAGCTGAGCACTTCACCACTGTGCCTCTAGGGCTCCTTCTGTAGAGGTCAGGGTTGCTGAGTCAGAATTGACTCAGTCCTAAGGGGTTTTTTTGGTTTGTTTGGGCACAGACAACCCCAGGCACGTTTTCTCCTTGGGGCGCTGCTTAAGGGAATCCAGGTCTAACTGTAAGCTTCTGTTTAACCTGCTCCTTTGTCTCCAATGTGTGGGTTTTGTCCTCGGGGTTGCACGGTGGCTGCAGCACCGCCAGACATTACATCACAGGCAGCTCAAAAGCTGGAGGAGTCGCCACCGCAGGGCAGCAGCCCAGGGCTGGGCCGTGGTCTCCCTTCGCATCACAGGCGTGTCTTCCCCAGCAGTAGTGAGGAGTGGGGAGGTTTAGGGTGGGCAGCCAGCAGGATGGCAGAGGAGAGCACCTCTCCTTGGCACCTGAGTGCCCCATCTGTCATGCTGGACAGTGTCTGAGTGTCTCCTGGGTCAGTGCTGTAGACCCAGTGAGGGCCCCAACCACGTCGGCCAGCATCTGCACACCAGAGTTACCTTACACATCAGGAAGCAGAGGCACCCTGAAATCTGCTTGCCCGCTGGAAAGTGGTCTCCAGGATGTCTGGGGTAGCCCAGTGTCCTCACAAGCTCCGAGGCTGTGCCACTGAGGAGCCTTGTCTGGGGGCCTTTAGAGACCCCATGCTCTGACACCCTGTCCGGGGCACCCTGGCAGGAAGCAGGTCACTGGCGCTCTCCTGGGGGCAGTAGTAGTGTCAGGGAGGAGACTTTGCCTGGTCTGGGGCCGTGCCCAGGTCCCCAGCAGGAGGTCAGGGGCAGGTGGAGGTCATTCTAGGTCCTGTGCTAAGCCTGCCCCCCCTCCCCTAGATGGAGAACTGCACTCAGCCGGCCGTCATCACCAAGGACTTCTGCATGGTCTTCTACTCGCGGGACGCCAAGCTGCCCGCCTCTCGCTCCATCCGCAACCTGTTCGGCAGCGGGAGCCTTCGGGCCTCAGAGAGGTGAGCGGTGAGGTGGGCAGGGGGCCAGGTGGACACCACGCAGGAGCGCCCTGGCCATCTGTACCCAAGCAGTGGGGGCCCAGATGGGAGGGCTACTTACCCCAGCTCCCACTGGTTCTCCACTTTCGGTAACCTCCAATACCAGGGCTGGAGGGAGTCTGGGGTCCTGTCTGTGTAGGGCTGCAATATAGGGGCCCTGACACCCTCATATCTGCATGGTCACCCGGTGAGCTCATCTGGGGCCAGCACAGTGGGACTTGTGCCAGTGAGCATGGTGACATGGCGTGGGCTGGCAACTGGGCCCTGTGGGTGCCTGGGTGACATGCCCCAATCCCGGCAGCAACCGTGTGACAGGCGTGTACGAGCTCAGCCTGAGCCACGTGGCGGACGCAGGCAGCCCAGGTAGGTGCCCCTCCCTCCAGCGGGGACGGGGCATTTGGTGGGGTGCAGCTGTGGGGTCCCTGGGAA